TACATATTCATCTGACCTTTATAAGATTATTACAATGACTGGCTATACATTTATTGTTTGGTGCTCTGTCTTTCATTGACTATGCAAAGGCGTTTGACTGTGTGGATCATAACAAACTGTGGCTGACTTTGAGAAGAATGGGAATCCCAGAACACTTGATCATGCTAATGCAAAACTTATACTTGGACCAAGAGGCAGTTGTCAAAACAGAGCAAGGGGACACTGCATGGTTCAAAATTGGGAAGGGCGTACGCCAGGGGTGTATCCTATCTCCATACTTTTCAACCTGTATGCAGAACAGATTATCCGGGAGGCTGGGCTCTATGAGGATAACGGGGTCCAGCCCCGTTATAGCAAACAGTTCCACCGAGAGAAGGGACAAGGATGAAGTGAAGACACAGAGAGACTATCCACTGATGGCGAATAGCAATTTTATTATTCATAGAAAGGCCTATGTAGGTTTTAGAAACATGTCTGCGGTAACAATCACATTATCTCTTTGCGTCCGTGATGTTGACTATCAGGTCAAACATTAACTCTCATAGACCTCAGTACAATACAAAGATGTTTTCCAGAATACCTTATTGTGTGCTCTAAGAAACAAAGAGTTTCGGTAGATTACATTCCCTACGGTCTGAGACCTTTGGTCACTCTTATTCATTAACAACCTACTTCCTTGAGTTGTTTATTGCCAAGCAGATGTTCTAGCCAAGATGGAGTTAGTCTTGCTGGTTTTACAGTACAGGGCTAATCTTGCTTTACAAGTTAGCCAGGCTGCTGACATGAGGAGAAATGTGGGGTCAAGATTGGTGGAAGATCTATCAACAATCTGCGTTATGCAAATGACACAACCGTGTTTGCTGAAATTGAGGAGGACCTGAAGCACTTGCTGCAGAGGATTAAGGACTGCAGACTCCAATATGGATTGAGGCTCAGTGTTACGAAGACAGAGATTCTCACCAGTGGACCTATTAGCAGAATCAGGATGGATGGTGAAGAGATTGAGATTGTTCACAGCTTTAGTTTGCTTGGCTCCACAGTCAACACTCTTGGCACCAGTAGCCAGGAAATTAAAAGGCGTATTGCCATGGGAAAATCTGCTGTTAGGGACCTCTCCAAAGTACTGAAGAGCAGTACTGAAGAGCAATGGTGTCTCTTTGGAGACTAAGGTGCGTCTGATACAGGCCATGGTCTTCTCAATCACTTGTTATGCATCAGAGAGTTGGACAGCAACCAAGGAGGATAGAAGGAGAATTGATGCCTTTGAGCTGTGGTGCTGGAGAAGAGTATTGAGAGTACCATGACTGCTAGGAAAACAAATAGATTCATCCTGGAAAGGTGGTTCCTTGGAGGCAAGGATTCTTAGGCTCTGTCTAAAATACTTTGGACATGTTGTGAGGAGAGACCGGTCCTTGGAGAAGGACATCATGCTTGCAAGAGTGGACGGACAGCGCAGGAAGGGAAGGCCTTCTATGAGGTGGATTGATTCTCAGTGACTGGCGTAATTGGGATGCGTGTGTCAGAGATAGTGCGATTGGCACAGGACAGAGCAGAGTTTAGGGCTGTTGTACATAAGGTTGCTATGAGTCTCAAGCAACTCGATGGCACTTAACAACAACAAAAACAACAACAACAACTCTGTCAGAAAGTCATTAAAAAAACATCATTTTGGCCCATATAAACAATCTTTCCTAAATCTATTGCAGCAGCCTGCATATGATGCTGTGGTTAAAAATATTGATCACCTTTCTCAATGTATTGTTACTGTCTATCATTTCTTTTTTTTTTAAAGGAATATAAAACTATTTATTGACCACTGTTCACCAGTTATTTACAATAAAGTAAACAATATACAACTGGATTAACATTCTGATTACTACAAAGTTGTTTTTCCTGGCTTCAGGTGAACCCGTAACCCAAATACTGAGAAAATTCAGCCTACATGTTAATCAATGGATTGGGGTAAAGAAAATCATGCAGGTCTATAGTTGAGATTACGAAGTTGTTCACCCATATTGCCAGCAAACTGCAACATCTCTAATCTTATTAGGTTTTTATCAGTACAGTCATAGACATTCCATGAATCCAGACCTTTTAGTCAAAACAGCACAAGTATTTCGACTTTCCATAAAAGGAGTGGCTTTCTAAAAGAAACAAATGCCCATTTAACTAAGCTTTACTCGACTTGTTAAAACACACCAGTATTTATCTAAGTTTTCCTCTCTGGGTATGGTTTTTAGCAGTGATCAAGATATTTCTTCCCGGAAATTTTTCAATTAAAGTATTTTGTTTATATGATTATACAGACAGGGATTTTGATGCAGATGCTTTAGACAGTCCAACTTATTACCAGATCATTTACTTGATTTTAAAATAAATGATTCTAAAATTTTTCCCATTTAACTTGATCTTTAGTCCATCAGAGTGACTATAACCCTGAAATATGAAGTTACTCATGCCATTTTTGTTTAGAACAGTTTTGATGAAAGAAAATTTACAAATGTTATTTATGTATTCACACACAAAAACAAATAAAACAAACCCCCAGAATGGTCCTTAGGCATGTTTTACAGGTTAAACACAAGTTCTGGTTCAGTAATGGTTATGAAAAAAATTTCTAAGGTTTAGAAAAACTGTTCTCTAATGTAATGCAGAGGAAATGATATACCACCAAACGTTCTTTTCTGACAAATGAAGCAACTACAGAAAGCTTTTATTTGTTCAAAGTAACCAGTGCTATTGATGCAACAAAAAAAACCCAACCAATAAAAGTCCCAAATAACTCCCCCAATACTACTTCAAAACAAATAAATCAAACTTGATTTCCATTAGAATGTAGTTGTTATTCA